CCACTATCATTTCCTTACTTTTTTATTCTTGGCCACCATAACTGGGGTGTCATTGTGGTAGTTCTTGAGGCTGCTATCAGCTCCACTTTTCAGGAGCAGCCGCACTGTGTCCACCTGGCCTCGGCCGCAGGCGATGTGCAGAGCCGTGTTTCCACTATACGACTGGCTGTTTAYGTCACATCCATTCTGTCATAGAGACACAGAGGATTTGTGGTTCATAGCAAAAACCTTCAACAGAGCCAGTAAAAAGTCAAACAAATAAATCYGTGGCCTGGGTGAGTTTCATCAGAAAGAGATTGCTTTCAAAGGAGAACAACAACAACAAAAAAGGTTTTCCTTTTACACAGCATTGCTGCAAAACTCAGAGGATGATAAAGGTAATCAATGAATATTTGGGACAAGTTCTTTGAAAGCCTTATCTACTGTATATACTAAAAGACAAATCTTAAATTTACCTTAATTAAACCTTACCTCAACGAGGAAGTGGACCATGTTTGCATTGTTGCACTCCACAGCATGCATGAGAGGATTCTGGCCACTTTTGATATCCTGAAATGATATAATAACAGAAAGTCAAATGATGTAAAGACTGTAAATATAAAATTTTCCATCCTAAGGTTATTCTGTGCAATGAATAATCTCCTAGGTAACTCTCAAAGTCTATGGAGCACAGACTGACCATAGCATTGATGTCAGCTCCTGCATCCAGGAGCATTTTAGCCAAATCCTGATGTCCATGCAGCACTGCCAAATGAAGAGGACTCAAACCTGGGAACAACAGCAAGAGAAATCCACGGTTTATTTTAACACTTCACAAACTAACATTTTATAAACCCCTTCAAATGTATAGTTTTAGTTACACACAACCAAAACTTTAAAACATTGTCAAAAGATAATAACACAACTTAAAAACATAAAAAACAGTGTTACTAATAAACTTATTTGCCAAGGATGCCCTTAAAAAAAGATAATTGGTGAGCACTGTTACGTGTCAAGACAACGCTCATGGAAAGAACAAGGCTTGAGGTTATCTTCTGCACCTCTAGGCTTGTAACTTTCACACTAATAAGATCTTCTGGGCCGTGTGAAAAGTTAACACAGCGACTTGACAAGAACACCAAACACAATGAAAGGAAATGTTCACATCCCACCTACACACCCCGAACAGCTCACCCCCCCACCTGAACACAGGTTCACCATATCCCCTTACCAAACGCTACGCACTGCTGAGGCCGTTGTGGTTAAGAATGAGCTTAAACRTGGCTGTTAAAAATATTCAAACTAAAGCAAACACAAATCTACTGTTAAAGTCATTGCTTTGAAAGAGAAAAAGAATAGTGTGTTTTGTTTTGTTTTTTTAAAACTGGGCAAAGTGAACTCTAAGCAGGAAGCCCTCTCTGACTTGCCCAAGCACWGAGAAAAAGTCAGCCACACACTTACTCTACAGGTGGGTTAATGCACTTTGTATGCATAACTTGCAAATATGTGAAGTCTGCACTGATTGATAAGATGCATGCACGTGTGCTGCAGTTCAGGAAAAGCCTAACTTATTTTAGCTGTTTTGTGTCTAACAGAAAGATTTTTAGTCAAAATGACTACATGTGGACCTGATCGGTCTGCAGCTTAGACCTGCTACTAAATGTGAACCCATCTGGAACATAATGAAGCAAACAAACAGTGTGTGTGTGTGTGTGTGTGTGCGTGTGTGTTGGGGGTGGGGGGGTCTGCACCGTGAATCACAGCTTACCCTCAAAGTTTCTGATCTCCAGGCATGAGGAGAATGAGCGGAAAGAAAGCAGGACAGACAGGCAGTCGTGATGGTCGTATTCACAACAGAGATGGAGCGCTGTTTGGCCGTGACGGTCCAGGAAAGAAGGGTCGGCTCCGGCTCTCAGCAGGACAGTCACCATGTCTGCTTGTTTGGTTATCACTGCCAGGTGAAGKGGCGTCTGAAGGAGGATGAAAAGGAAGGCTTAAACAAACCAGTGCATTTAGGTCCATAGCAAAGCAATAACGAAACATTCAGTTCAACAAAGTTGACTTTTTTTCTTTACTTAGGAGCACACAATACAAGGCCTTTATGTTTTCAAGAATTGTTTTTAAGCAGACAAAAATGGCCTTATAACTAAGTAAACAACACTACTTTATATTAAGTGTCTACAAAAATGATTTTCTATAAAAGCATGTAGTCATTTCCAGGAAGATAATCTTCTGTGCTGCATGATAAGAGTCCATGTCAGATATTAACAAAGCCTCAAGCATGCGCCAACAAAAAGTTTCTGTGGACAAACAGGACCAAAAAAAGAAAGACTGAAAGGAACTTGTGTCCGAGTCATAGCTTTTGTGCATAAAGATAAAGTCCATGAAATTCTGTCCAGAAACCAGTAGAGGGGAATGCTGAAGCAGCATTTTAGGGTGCTTCTCAATTACTTGGTCCAAATCGGTACAACGTTCTCTTGACACTGACAGGATCAAATATAGATTTATCTTAGTTGTCAATAAACATTATTATGTATGCCAAAACATGAGCAACACAAAGGGTTTATCTGATTGGTATTTATAATATCTGTCTAGCATCCACCACTGCAGAGTCCGCAGGACCCAACCCACCCACAACACAAAATATTAACATTTCTACCCTCGAGCTGGAGGTACAGAAGTGTGAAATGCAGGACCTCCAGMTTTAAGAACTCCTTCTCAAGTGCAATCACTTAAACATAATAGATGTTTTGGTCACTATTCTRTGACCTCTTCCACATTTGCATGTTTTTGACACATTTGATTTAAAATGTTCCACATTGTATCCAATCGATACTTTTGCTTTTCCCTTATTGTGAATTATATTTCTTTTGTTTTTTTCTTGGGCATTCATTATGGACAACAAAGTAAGAATTTGATTGCTTGGGGAAACATGTTTCCAGTTGTGCACATGACAATAAACACTTTGAATCCTTGAATGACTGAGTGCCAAAATTTGTAACAATTTGCTAAAGCAGACAAAACTATTGTTCCAGACAGAATGCAGTTCACCAACAAGGTGAATGTCRTCTGTGGAGAGCCAGCGATCTGCAGTGTATCACTTACTGTTATTGTTACTGTTACAAACTTGGCTCAGCTGGAACATCGACYGAGGCAGGGCCAAAACACATATGTGGAAATAACTATAAATAAAAACCATTAAATGCTGAAGAGTAAAGTAACATGTCATGATAAAACCTTATTCTGTTGCTCGAAACAGCAAGCATACAAGGACAGAACAGAAACCTTAATATTTTGGTCAGCAGTAGTTAATATCAGATAAAAGGACTTCCTGTCAACCAAAAGGGGAATCCCCGTTTGTTTGTTTATTCAGCCAGCAGATACAGCTGTTGAGTTCATAAGAGGTTTATGTAGCAAAACAGGAGTTTATATTAGGCTCACATCAGGAATACAGAGCATGGTCTTGAAAAGAGGGTTTATGTGGTTGGACTGATTATTGCAGAGTCTCTTTTGAGCACGCACACATAAATATATTCAAAGCTGAGAGTATTGAATAAAAAACCAGAATTAATTTGTCTGGCGGAAAAAAAAAACAAATATCCTCAATGACGAACCTAGCATGGTGACTATACTGTATGTTTACCACGACAGGTAAAGCTTAAGTTATGTTTCATTTTCTCTTGAAAAAAAGACCTTAGAAGCTGAATGAAGCAACCAKGACGTCTAACTTCGTGAGTTCAGCATGAATCATTGTGCTGAAAACAATGTCAAACGAGGCTAAATAGGGCACGGACCACCAGCTGCTTGAAATTACGCAATGATTAGTGGGTCATGAAGGGAAGTTTTCTAATCTGGGTGATTTGGCTGCTATTTGTGTTATTCAAAAATGAAGCAACAAGGAACAGATTGTAGGTCCATGTTTCACTTTTACTGTGTTATAATTGTGTCTCGTGTGTGTGTGTGTGTGTGTGTGTGTGTGTGTGTGTGTGTGTGTGTGTGTGTGTGTGTGTGTGTGTGTGAGTACTGATAGTTCGTTCCAGTAAAGCCTATAAAAAAAACTTGAATAGTGAGAATCAATCTGTGGAATTCCTCCATTGTGTCAAAGCAAGCATTTCTTCCTTTAGCTTCCCTGAATCCTATGACTCACACATACAAACGTGAACACACACTCACACATGTTTGCCCAGCTATACATTTGGGGACATTCCATTGACTTCCATTACATTTCTACAACCTAACCCTGACCACAAACCCTAAGGCTAACCTCCCCTGACCCTAAAGCTAACCTAAACTCAATTCACACCTTGGTCCTAAACCCAACCCAACAATGGCATTTAAACCAAACGGGAACTCGACTTAGGTCCCCAAATGCACCAGTTGTCCACAAATGCAGGTGTTTTGTCTTAAAATTGCCCCCAAATGTGACCAAAAACAACCCCCCCAACACACACACATACACACACACACACACACACACACAC